CTATCTACTGGAAGACTGCTATTCTCATATTATGTGACTGTTTGTGACAACAGTGGTGGATTATGGAGCCAAAATAGCTTATTTAAAGGTAGCTTGTGTATCTCTACACTACACTGCAGTGTAGATATTTTATCCCATATTACATGAAATAACAGAATTACATATGTTTCAGCAGTGGTGTATTGTGACATGTATTCACTTGTGACAAATTACATTTGGATACTGACTGCTGAAATGAAAATAAAAATATTAAAGACTGGCCAGCTTTATTAAATTATTCCAGTACTTATGAGAATTAATTTCTGGGGAAAAGTCTCATTCTGCAAATAACCATTTTTTAAAGTATCAGGAGAGAATTTTGCTGCCAGAAACAGTATTTGAATTTTACATACTGGAGAAAGAAATTTTATAATTTGTAAACCAAATATTTGAACCATGAGCCAAATTCTGAGGTCATTTTTTTCAGGTCTCCAACAAATCATTTGAATTTTTTGCTAGTAAGGACTGATTGTGGGCCTATCCATACTCTGAGGTTCTGAGGTACCATGGGCTTATGCTATGCAGAAAGAATGTCTGGTTGCTATAAAACCTCAGTACTGAAAACTGAGAATATCTGACAATGAGGCTTTGAATTAACTAAATATAGAAATGGGCAATTAAATCATTCTTCTATCTTGGAATCAGTAGAAAGCTTTCATTATTTTTTTCATACCCAAGTATTTTCACTTTTGAAAAGCATCAGTCATTTATATTGATGAAGGTCACACACTGTATACAGTTTTGCCAGAACTGGGCAATAAATCTTTTACCCATTCTGTAAAAAGGTTTTGAGTAGTCAACCATTTTCCCCATTTCCCATTGGAATGAACAAAGGGTCTTTTAAAGTTTTTTCTTAATATATAGCAGTAGTTGTAACAGTCATTTCTGTCATTTTCTTAGTATAAAATAGACACACACACACAACTACTTTCACCCTTCTCAAGATAACTTATAGTTAAGACACTTGCTGAAGGTACTGGAGACCAAAGTTCAATACCCTGCCCTGGCTAGTTAAGGACAGTGGGGTCCCACATCTAGAGCAAGCATCCTAACAACTAAGCTTACAGCTCTTCTAGTTTGGGTCTTCATTTTGTACAAATAATTAACACTCACAGAAGCAGGAACCTAAACCTGGGTCTCCCATATCCCAGGTAGGTGGAACTCAAAAAGGTACAGAGAAGGGAAACCAAGTGATCAGAGGCATGGAACAGCTGCCATATTAGGAGAGACTAAAGAGGTTAGGATCCTTTAGTCTGGAAGGGAGAAGGAAGAGGCTGAGGTGGATATGATAGAGGTCTATACAAATCATGAAGGGTGTGGACAAAGGGAGCAGGGAACTTATTCACCAAATACCAGAATACTTGAACTAGTGGCACCCACTGAAATTAGTAGGTGTCAGGTTTGAAACTAACAAGAGACTGTAAGCAAAACAACTTGTGAAATGCATTGCCACAGGAGATAGCAGAGACAGATAGCAAAGCCAGGTTCAAAAAGAGACTTGAAAAAAAATCATGGATGATAGATCTATTAATAGCAGAACAGAAAAGTTGACTGTTTCCTCTGGCATCTCTAAATCAATAGCAGTTGATGCCAGGGAGGGTAAGGAATAGGGGATACACCACTCTAGATCTATTTGGATTCAATGCTCTCCCTCTAAAGGATCCACTTCTCAATGTCAGAGAGGATACCAGGCTAGACTGTCCATTGGTCTGACCCAGTATTGCACCTATAAATCCCTTAATCTTTGAACTGTAGCAGTAGTTTCTGACATTTTCCCAGTTAACATTTAATTCCACAGAAGAAAGTCCACCTTCCATACTAACTGGTAGTTATTCATTCATCTGGTCTGCAGAAAGGTTTAATTTCAACAAATCAACAGTATCAGAACAAAAATATAATTTTGTTGATAAATTTCTGAATCATTTATTGAAAAATCATTTCTGGCCCCAACTGTTCAGAAATCATAAGGTTACCTGAAAAGCAATGCATTTGAGGTTCTTTTAATTTGCCTTTTGGTTTTTGAAGAACTAGAATTTATGACTAGAAATTTAATTTCTTCCCTGCCAAAAAGGAAAAGTGAAATGTTCTAGTACTGATTATTACAAGAGTTGGGGCTTAGAAAAAAACACAAAATAGGATGAGGCTTGCAATAAAAGCATGAGAGCTGGCAACACTGAATTAATTGGGTGAAAAGATGGCATATTTTGCAGCTGGGGCTTTTGGCACCCAAGAAGCTATGTACATTCCCTGCATGTTTAGACAGGGAAGGCTGGTGAACTTTTGATATCAGGGAAGATGTACAGCTGCTCTTTCCTAACAACGGAGAAGATTAGAAAGCACACTTTCTAAAAGGACAGCACTTTAAGTCCTTATTTCTTAATGCAACACCACTGTGACAAAAGACATAGCAACAAAATTATAGAATATAAAAGACATTGTTGTTCTTGAACAGGTTTACATACAATGAAACACACTGATTTTCACATGACACTTGTTTAACTGGTACTAAAGTCTGTGTGCATTAATTTGTGAAAAAATATAGGGAATAAGAAAGAATGGTGCAGAAGGAAGTCAACCAAAAAGGCTTTGAGTCCAGAAGATTTTCTCAGGGTTCTGAAAATGTGACAAGCAAGATTTTTCTTTTTTTCTTTTCTTTTTTTTTTTCCTTTTTGGGTATATCCATTATTGACCAAACTGTATATAGTTGGGAAAGATAATAAACTAACTTTCCATTTGGGCACAAAATTTTGTCCGTCATCCAAAAACTGCCCCCGCCCCCAACCTTGCTTCTTGATCCTGACTTTCAACATCCCTGTTCTAGTCTTGATCCTAGCAAAGGCTGTCAGTCACCCAAAATTATGGCAGACTTTTACTGCACAAAAATAGAGATTTGCAAGATATTTTCCAAATACCCTGCAAAATAAAGGAGGAACTGAAATTTAGTTTTCTTCTGGTGCAAGTTGACAGCTCTATTCTACAAGAGTTAATGTTAAATTTATTCTATGTATATAATTAATTAACCTTTACTCCAGTACAATTATATATGTATCCATATATAAATATAAATCCATATATAAATATAAATGCAAGCACTTTGCCACCCTGGTATGCACAAACATACACACAAGCCAAATTTATTAAGGCCCCATATATATGTTGCACTTAAGGCATGATTAACCAGTCAATCATGCCTTAGGTAGTCACTTGGCCACATGTTCAATCAATTAATGGCACAATAAAAACAGGAATAAGCTACAAAGTTATTTAACAAAATGTATAATAACTTTGTATCTTCTTCCTATCATGCCATTAATTGAGCATGTGGTTGTGGCCCCTATGGCAGGGAGCCATATCAGCCGAACAGAGCTTCTAACTTGGGGATCCCATGGGCACCCCTGATACCTCTCAACTCACAGGGATCCCAGGGTTGGTGTGTGTGTGTGTGTGTGTGTGTGTGTGTGTGTGTGTGAGAGAGAGAGAGAGAGACGCATGCAGTCCCTGCCTGGGATATCCAATTAGCTATGGTCTCCCAGCTGCAGGATCAGGGGGCTTCCAGCTGTGGGATCTTGCTTTTTGCCAATGCTGGGGGAGCCCGGGATCAGGTTCCCCCTCCGCCCACAATAAGGTGTGATGGATTCTGATTCACAATCCTAGAATCATGCCTCCTGCCATGCATGTGTGGCATGCCAGGAAGCACAATTGTGTGCATCATTCATTAGACCCCTCACGCCTTTACCTGCAAATGTAGAGGGGTCCTGAAAAAAACTTGGACAGGTTCTGAGGAAGAAGGAAGATGTGCTTTTATGAGAAACCAATCAAATTTCTTCTCCTTTCCTTGGCTTTTAAGAGTACAGTAAAATGAAATGTTTAGATGCCTCCTCTCCATGTTTGAATGAAATATTTTATTATACAAATAGCACATTTGTGATATTCTTGTAATTATCTCCAACCACTCAGAAAACTACATTTATCATATACCTTTAGTCAGCTTCCTTGTATTTGGCTCATTAATAAAACTCAGGTAGAATTACATCCTAACTGAACCTCAAAGACTTTCAGATAGGTATCTTCAGCATTGTATTTGTTTTTTTACTCTTATCCTTAGCATCATTACTTTAGAGATATGGTTCCTTCTTGCCCACTAATCTACATGCAACCAAAATCTAAGAGAGGAGATGTCTGAGTTTAGATCAGTGACAACTTCAAGATCACTTGTGTCATGATGTATTCAAATTTAGGAACCATCTACACAGTAAAACAAAAATTGTGATTTTGAAACTGGTAGGCCTACCTGTGGTAACATGAATGAAAATAGTGGGTAAAATAACAGAGAAGTTCAGCTGGTACAGATTGCACCAACTATGCTACAATCACATCTTCATTTTGTTGTCTAGACAGAAATTAGAAATTTGAGTTTGCCACCTAAGAAAGCTATGCATCCAGCAGTATAAGACACACATCTATAATCCTCTACGACAAATAAATCAGACCTAAAATTGTGTGTACAACTGGACAAAATAACTGAAATAACCTAGCTTTAAAGATGAAGAGCTATGACATAATATTGAAAAATATATCATTAAAAAGTTCCCTCCCACCAGTGAAATGTAGCATATATGTATAAATGCCCCAGTTGTCCTGAATCTTACCTCACCAACCTTCTAGTGTCAAGGCATAGCTGTGCAGGCAAGAAATAGTATTAACTCTTAATGTGTAAGTGCTCACAACATGTTTTAAGTTTAACACTGCCTAACATTCCACAGATTTAGTGTGGTCTAAACGCAACATGTAAATTTACCCTAAAAAGCATACTTGCAAGTATCATCTATAAAAGCATCATAGGCTGCCTATTCATTCAAGCTATATACTACCTACACAAACAGCATCAGAGATTTTGCAAATGTGGGACATATTGAACAGAGATCTGCTAATAAAAAAATAAAAAAATAAAACCCTCTTACCTGAGATAGTTCATTACTGTCCACAAGCCCATTCCTGTCAGAATCAAAATAATTAAACATCTGATCCACCAGAATTTTCTTTAGAGCTATTTTATCTTCTATAATTTTTTCTTTTGCTTGTGCAATGTATCTCCGGTTTTGTAGGTCCAGCAGCATATTTTTCACTTTGCTGTATTCAGGAGATTTGCACTTATCCCCTATAAAATAAATGAACAATTTAAAATTATTTTGAATGATATGGTTCAAACAGCTTAAAAGAAAAAAATATGAAAAGCTGAAGACATTAAAATTATGTATTAATAGGAATATTAAACAAGGTTGCTGTATGTAGTTTGGTGAGGCAGAAACAAGCTCAATATAAAATTGGTGGGAGGCCTACCATTTACTTAAGTGGTTGTTGACAAAAGGGAAATAATTGTCATACTGCATTTCTACAATCCCATGTGCTGGTTTTCTCCCTCACAAAGTGTTTTTAATACATTTTTGTGATAGTTTACATTATATGAAATTTTCTGCTATTGCTTTTAAGCTAGGTCATTTTGGAGTGGTCATATCTGAAAAAAATCATATTTTTTTCATCTGTAATACTGCATTTTGTATGAATAGTGATACTGTATATATTGCAAAGCAAAGGTAAATAACTGAAAATAAACAATTTGCTACATAAAAAAAAAACTAATATAAAAAGTAGAACACTTTATCCAAGTACTTTAAAAACTAATTGAATCCTTTAACTTAAAGAGAAGGAAGAAGATTCATTTTATTACCTTCAAAGTCAGATATCTCTATAAAAGCAACTTTTTGCAGATGTCCTGGCTACAGCTATTTGCTGTAACATAACACACCTGTACATACATATGGACACATCCCAGCTCCTCCTTATGCCTTTAAGCTCCATTATACATGTACAGGCCATATTTCACGATGAAGGCGAGAGGGGGGGTGGGGGATTGTTTAATACTTTCAGCGTGCACTGGTTTTTGTTTGTTTTAATTAGAAAGAAGCTTAAGGTTTCAGGACAATATCTGTTGGTATGTGAAAGTCCATATAAATAACCAAAAAAAAATTTGTCCTATTTCAAAGTCATCCTGGATTTTGGGTAATTTAAGGGGAAAAAATGGCCAAGGGTCTGGACTCTCACCACCTACCATTACTTCCCTCAGCACAGTAGCAGAGGGGGACAACTTTAAGGTGACTTTCTACTAATTAGATGCTATACATGGAAAATTAAAACAAATTTATAATGTTTTTATGTATATAATCTAATTATTGGTAGGCTCATCTTAAATTTAAAGTCTTTGATTCTGGTAAATATGATACATTGGCCAATGGATTCTTGGGAAGCTCAGACTATGCATATAGCCCCCCCCCCCCCCAACATCCCCCTACCAAGGGTGTAATTTGTTTACCAAACCAGAAGTCTTTCCTGATCTAATTATAATCAGGAGAATATTTACATGCTTTCAGATACATCCCAAGGATAACATCTCTTTTAATTGTGTAGGGGTTTTGGCTATGCTAAGCCATAGTTATGCTAAGCTATAGTTAAACTAATAAACTGCAAAGGACCTTGGGAGTAACAGGCTTCACTGGCCACTGGATGACCTGATAAAAGACACAGTGAGCAACAAGATAAATGTAAAATAAGAAACAATAGCTGAACAAGTTGAAGTGTGAAAGTTAGAACTCACTAAAGTAGGTAACAAGAGACACGTTGTACTCAGCAGGCTGAGGATGCTCAAGCTAAGTAAGGGAATGAGCTAGAAAGGCCCAAACTCAGCAGACAGTGAGCTCTAGATGCCCAAACCTGGAAGGGGGAAGCTGTAATTGGCAAGGAATGAGCTGCAGGTGTCCAGACTTGGCCAAGAGACAAGTAAAGAGGAAAAACTTGATTGAGAGAGAGAGAGAGAGAGAGAGAGAGAGAGAGAGGAGTTGACACAGAGTGAGGGCATCTAGGTTATAAATATGGGGGTTGAGAGCCTTGCCTTTTTGTAGCAACTTAGGGGGCGCCTGGGCACATAATGTGTCATTTACCATTGTCTGGACAGTTTTGCTGAGCCAGGATGACTGCTAGGCAGCCCTACTAGCTACTATCCTTAAAAACAATAAACTTATCTGAGCTTTCACCACCGAACATGAATTCAAGTTGTTCTTTCTGCATCACACCGAAGTACCAGAAGGCTGGTTGTAGGCAATTGCCCTGAGAGCACCCTGACCCTGAACACCAAGGGCAGGAGAAGGCAGGAGGCTGGTTGGGAACCCTCCCAAGCCCTGAAACACTTCAGAACAATAAAATGTACTTCCCTGTATACCCAGTGTCATTCTTGCCCTTGGTCTCTTTTTTAAAATGTGCATTCATCATTGTCTAAAATGTTCTGGGTCAAGTACCTTGGACCACAACCACAGGGGTCTATCTGAATGGTCATTAAATATACCTGTGTAACCCAGGTACACCCAAGGGTGTGCCCTATTCTCAATAGGATGGAATGGGTAGGCAGGAGTGGGTGCTGTGAGAGGGATGCCAGCCCCCATCCCCACCAAATAACTTTTTTCTCCCTCCAACTATGGCAGAGGCAGATGTGGGCTGCCCACTGTGGACTCCCCACCCTAATGCCTCCTCCTATGTTCTCTGCAGCACAGCAGGTGAGACCCAACAGAGGAAGGCAGAGCGGGGCAGGGAGGTTTGATGTCACCACCAGGAACCCTGTGCTGCCATGGCAAGGTGCACCCAGCCTGCCTGGCAGCAGTGGGTGTGATGCTGTGGAGTTGTGTCCCCCACCCCCACTGCTGCTGGGTGGGTAGAGAGTGCCTTGCCATGGTAGCGTGGAGCTCCAGGCAGCAGCACCGAGCCTCCCCACGCCACTCTGACCTCCTGTGCTGGACCTTACCCAGTGGGCCATGGAGGAGGAGGGCAGTAGTAAGGCAGAGAATGCAAAAACCAGAGTCACCAGCCTACATCATCCCTCCCCTATGGGTTCCACTCCAGCCATGCTGCCAATGGGAGAGGGGGAGCTGGACTCCAGGCTCTGCACTTGGCTCTGGCCACAGCAGCTGTCACCTCCCATGGGTGGTAGCTGGGGTTCAGGTACTGCTAGGGAGTGACAAGGTGCTGCAGACCCAGGTCCCTGGCTAAATATCTCTAGCAGCTGGGGGCCCCTCTGGAAGGGCTGGGAGGGCAGGGGGCTGTGGGTTGGGGAGTGAGGACTACTGGCAGGGCCAGAGGGCTGTGGGTTGGGAGGGCAGGGCAACTGAAGGGTGGAGACACCAGTAGTGCTGGGGTGGATAGGGGGCTGTGGGTGGGGAGAGAGGGACACTAGCAGGGCCAGGTGGCTGCGGGTCAGGAGTGAGCAGCACTGACAGGGCCAGAGGCTCTGGGTCAGGAGTGAGGAGCACTGGCAGTGTTTGTGGGGGGGCTGTTACCTGAGTATGAGGGTCACTGGCAGGGGCAGGGCACCAGCATATCAGGACTGCTCAGCATCACAAAGTGGCATGGGGGGCAGTGTATATCTAGATCTAGATCTAGTGTTGTTTCATTTTAATTGTGGAAAAACATGGATTTGGGGGGGTTTAATCAGAGAATTTGGGATTTTCATCAGACAATTTGCAATTTTTAAAACAGAAAACTAGGTTCCCTGGCAATCACATGGTCAGATCCAGTAATTATGTAGGTTAAAATGCTCTGGGCCCCATAAGTATGTATTTGTTAAATTATTGCTGTATTTTCCTGCTGCTCTTAATGATCCTGTAGCACTAGCAGGTTAGGAAAAAATGCATTAGAAAGATCTTGAGAGCAGAGAATGGAAAAATGCATTGTGGAAAGATGCTACGCTGGTTCTTGCCTTGGCAGCAATGTCATTTTTTGATCTTACTGGGGACAAAGAAGCCTACTATAAGGAAAATCCATTTTACAGAACTGAGCACCAAGCCCATTAGAAAAATGTCTAGTTAGTTGTGAAATTTCTGTTTTGGTAATCTGCCAAATCACTGTTTGAGACTTCTGGGATGGTATTCCTTTGGGCTGTCCTGGGCTCAACTCCTTGGAACTTTCCTGAACTGCAACTACTACTAAAGACCTTGAAAGTCATCTATAAGTTTTATATTTTCAATAACTAGATAATTCTTTTCAGCTCATTTTATGCATAAAGCTGACTGAATAAAGGCTGCAACAAGTTCTTTGCAGATCTGGGGGCTCCTTCAGCTACTATCATTGCCAATTTGTGAAAACGTTGTGAAGTATAAATTGTTCATTTTCTATGTTTATTGTTGCACTTAGAGAGGAATAGGAATATGAAGAAGAATGAAAGGATCATGGTGAAAAAATAGAAGAGTTTTAGAAGCTCCCATCTTCTAACTTCTGTGTATAAGCAGCCTTTTTTTTATTCATCAGACTAGTTGCAACAGCTGATCCTGTATGGGTCTTTGAAACTGGAAGGGAGAATAACATATAACATATTCTATAAATCAAACTTTCAAAGTCTTTCTGATATTCTGGTCCTCTAAACGGTCTATCAGGGCCTGATTCTAGGATGCTTAGATGGGAAAGAACAACTTCTTAGGTGCCTTGATGGAGGACAAGTTATCCCAGAAATAAAAGGACAAGTTTTTCTTTCCCATCTCAGTATACTAGAATTGTATGTGGTAGTGCTGCATCTCAGTGGGAGCACGTCTACACATGCACATTTACTGCGGAGTAAATATAGCAACTTAAACTGACTTGAGTGTAAATTTGATACCTGCATCATGTAGGAATTAAATTTATGCCCAATTAGTTAGTGCACAGTAATGCATGTGTAACACTGTGCTTGTGGACTGACTTGGGACTAACTTTCATCCCAAGTCAGCCCACACAACATTAATGTGCTTTAACATCTGCACGTGTAGATGCTGTCCTACACAAGATTTTCCAGGACACCAAGGCACCCATTAGATGGAATTCCAGGGAACCTATTTAGGGAACATAGCCTTGTCTGGAGAACCCTGTGAAGGTAAAAGATGTTGGTTCTCTGGAAAAGGATCATAACATATCAGTGGTGAAAACAGGAAAAGAAGAACACGTGTTTTAGTAGAGATTCTGTATTTAGTGGGAACAGTAAATAGTTTTGTTAGAGGATTCTTTTGTTTTCTTATACGTTGGAGACTAGCAGCCTTGTTACATGTTACACTTGGGCTTCTCAGAGTGGTAATCAGTATTAGCTTG